GCTGAATTATGGAAAATCTGTTATTAAAACCAAAACAGCTTTTATGAAGTTTAAATTCACAGGCCTGTGTTATTGTTAAGTTTATTATACTGAAACAATTCACATTAATAAAATAGCTTATCAACTTAAAATGTCATATCTTTGCAGCTCTAAGGAGATTTGCCTGTAAACATTTAGTGATGTTAGTGACAATCCCTCTGATCTGCAAAGAGTTAATGCAAAAATGAACATTTTCTTAATGTTCTTTCATAAATGTTGTCTATCCTATATGCTTTTGTTTTTATAAATATTTTGATATGTACTGTTTGTAACCACCATGGACAAAAGAATTATAAAACATACTAGTCCTGATATACGATATAAAACATATGGAAACAATGCTAATACTTTATGATGTGATTCAAACAATAAATCAACTTTTTATCTTTGATTCAATTCACATATAACTTTTATAATAAGATTTTTTGGCTAAAAGAGCATCTTTATTAAGAAAATAAATTATTACTATTTTTGTTATTCTAACAAGTGATTAATGAGAATTATGATTAAATTGATTGTCATGATATTAAAGCTAGATGGTATAATCAATCGCCTATAAACAATGATTACAACAATTAGTGTATCCCTACATTCTATAGAAGCCTTTCTTATTAAGGTACACTTTATGCTTCCAACAAGAGGTGAGTGATATAATCAATCGCCTATAAACAATGACTACAACAATTAGTGTCATGTAAACTAATCGATTAATCAAAATTATGATTAATGTTTTTTGTATTATTCAAACAATCAATTAATTAAAATTATTGTTAATTCACTTGTCATGTAAATAATGATCTAACAAAAAAATATGAAAAGAGAAGGAAAAATATTAAATATATATATATATGTATATTTATCTATTCCCTACCTCCTTTCACCTCTCCATTTGTACAGATAGCTGACATTGACACTGTTGTCAATATTGTAACTACCATGGACAAAAGAATTATAACACATGCTAGTCCTGAAATACAATATAAGACATATAAAAACAATGCTGATATTTTATAACGTGAAAACAACAATAATAAAGAAACTTTTTTGTTTATGTATTATTCAATGTACATATAACTTCTCTAATAAGACTTTTTGGCCAGAAAATTTTCTTTCATAGAAAAAAATACTTTAAATTAGAAAACTCTTTTTCTTCAACCTTAAAAATATGTATTTACAATTAATTAATAGAGACCTTTTAATCTTATTCAAAGCAACCTTTAGTTCAATAGTTAATCGTTTTGACATAGATGCATGTGATAATAAAAAATAGTATACAAAGAAACTTCAAAATTTTTATGTGTATTTTTTTTATTAGCTGAAAATTTTCTTTTTCAGTTAATACAAAAATACATCATGGAATGGTAAAAATACACATTCAAATCTGATTGATGGTGTAACTTGCATGTTTCCCACTTGCATAGATGCCTTTCTTATTTAGGTATATTTGCTTCCAACAATGTAGTTGGTATTAGAAGTGGGTGATATAATCCATTACCTCTATACAACAATTACACAAATTGGTGTCATGTAATGTAATCAATTAATCAAAATTACAATTAACTTGACTAATATAAATTAGTATTTCCAATTATTACTCTTTTTGATTATTTCAAAAACCAATTAATCAAAATTATGATTAAATTGACTGTCATGAAAATAATCAAATAACCAAATTATGGTTCCTGATTATTAATATTTTCCATTATTCCAACTATCCAGGGAATCAAAATATTCCAATCAAACTTTCTCACCTTGTCTTCATTATGGCAAAGCTACTAAAGCTATCTGCCACTGTCACGAACTTACTTTTTAGGAGAAATATATATAAATGCAAGTTAAATATACGTGTGTTGGGCTAAGAATTCTTCTACAGTAGATGTCTCTGACTTGTTGGCAAAAAATTTGACAATAAACAAACAGCACGCACTTCACTTGTTTGTAAAATATATGTCAATTGCTTTAAAATTGTATCTTCAACACAATACAATTTTCTTCTTGTCAAAAGTCCACTTAGGTCAATTCAATTGCTATATAATTCAGTTGACAAGCCAAACTATTTTTCTATAGCATCCATATATAATTCACTTACACTGTTGCATGAGTTATTGCAGCTGTATCCTGTACTTCCAATAATCGTCTGCTTTTTCATGCTTCCAAATAATCATCTGTTTTTTATCAGACTCCACACAGGTGGGTTTAATAACACCCTTTGCTGAGACAACTTATTCTCCTTATCTCTTTCAAAATTGTTAATCTCACTCTAACATATCAACTGTTAGGCCTTTCACTCTTAAGATGGTTAACTTTGCATTTTCTAACTTTTCTCTCACCGAACTTCTCTTTCCCATGACTATACTTTTTACTCTCTATTTCCACTCGTCTGATCGCCGTTATTTATACGTCTATCACTTAGGCCTTCCAGAAATCTCTGTAGCCTTGATATCAATGGATTGCACACAATGTTCGATAGCCTCGACATCAATGAATTACAATCACAAAATAAATCAATTAATAATACTACTTACACTAAACAGTCTTTTGTATCTAACAGTCACTAATGCTTAATAGTTGACCAGGGGGAGGCAACTAACTGGTTGTATGTCACCAACCTATTTTTGTTGTTTGTGAACTGCAGACTAAAAGGAAGGCAACTCTCCAGTAATGCACACTTTTTTTTGCTTATATGTACTATGGTTGACGAAACACTGTACTAATCAATTAACTGAAGGTAATTTATTAAAGGGGCTAATGATTAATTCGGTTAGCAAATACCCCTAATCCTTCAGCCATTATTGGTACCCTAGTTTTAATTGTATGTCTTATGTGCAAAACATCTTGATTTTGAGTTAGCACCCTGAAGTGTTATAATATAAACACAAACACACACACAATAATTGCAGGTGAAAAAATATATATAACACATAGAGTGATACGTGCAATTAATGCAGCAATATTAAGTATTCTAGGTAGATGCAATACTTTAAGTACATTTTATTTTTTATTGAACCTTATCCAGAGATTAGCAATAATTAATATATAAAGACAAAAGTGAGAGAAAAATACAAATCGTTCTACTTATAATGTAGGGTATAATGTTTTGAAATCAACATATAAATGTGTTTGTTTTTGTTAAGTGCAAAACCTATATAGTTTGTTATCTGTGCTGCACCCACCACAAGTATTGAAACCCAATTTTTAGCATTGTTAGCCCTAAGAAATTACTGCTGAGCCAATGCAAGCCAACATATAAAGACAAATATGAGAGAAAAACAAAAAACATAGTACTTAAAATAGAGGGTTTGTTCTCACTATCCATTTTAAGAAAACTTACCAATACAGAAACATTTGATAGTGAACAAGAAGTGCCAACCAATTTAATTTGTAAGGGAATTTGGAATTACAGTTAAGATTCCTTCTCCAGTGGACCAAAACTGTGCACATTTGGTTAATAAGATATAATTACTCACAGTTAAAGAAATGTTAATAAACAGGTTACTTTTCATGATAGATTATTTTGTGTATGAATATTATTAACATGTTTGAGGCATATGTAGATATACAAAAACTTAAAATTACTAGGATAAATACACACGTGTATATATCCCTGTCTACTGTCTACAACATAAGTACATAATTATAAACTGCAATGCTTATTACATTATATTCATGCAAGTTAAGAGAAAATGCAGAAAGTTCACAATTCTATGATAAACTAAACACCCTATTTAACTGCTTAGATAGCAGGTAAAGTTATTTCTTGTGGTGATAGTAAGACACAGATATTAACTAGTTTCTAGTTACAACTTACCAATTCCAGCTTGTCCTACAACCCAGGACAACCGAATGAAAAGCATAACACCCCAAATATTGAGGAGACATCGTACCTAAAACACAAATATTATAAATTATATATATCAAATTCATATTAAAGTGTTTTTTTTTTCTTTTACACTTTTTTTTACTGATACATGTTGTACTTACAAATCATGAAGGAAGTAGATATGTGTGTTTACTGTATCAGAAAACACTTGCAATAATAAAGAAATTACAAAGCTTAAAAGTGCAATAAAACAAGTTTTCTAACTTAATATTAATGAAAAAGGGTATAATGCATGAATAACTTTCACTAAATATCCTAGGCATACACTAGTATGAAAGTTACAAATGAATTTGAAATAAAACATGTTTTTGATGCATGTTTTAATAACATCTCAAATTTATCATTAAATTAATAATTTTTCCCATTAAAAAGTGAATATTAAACTCTAGAAACATTTCATACCAGATAATGGACATACAATTAACATCAAATAATAGTAAAATATTGGTAAGCATAACCAATAAAATAAAATGATTTAACCTTCATTATACGAATATTTTTCTCTTCTTCATCAATTTGACTGGGGATTAGAATAATAGTAATTATCATGATCTACAATCTTCAACCCAAAAATTACTGACACGATCCACATGCATCCAAGTTACTTTCTAAACATATTTTTCTAATCTATTTCTTGGTCACAAGGTTTCTAATAATATATGATTCAAAAACAAAAATCTATAAAAAGTACCTTCAATGCTGAAATTAACCCAACTAATTACTCTTTGTATTTTACATAGAAAACAAGTGATTTCACCCATCTTTTGTGGTCAGTCTTTTACAATAAATGTTATAAAATGCAAAAAGCACAAAATGATACAATTTCATGATATCAATCACACCAGTAATGAATGATACAAAAACAAGTCATTAATTTGTGGGTAACACTAATTGTCTTTTCTCATTATCTAACTTTATTCTCTCTACAGAATGATACTTTCTACACTCAGTGATGGAAAATTCAATCTGAAATTAACCAACAGCAAATGAAATTTATTTACTACCAGGAAAAGAAATGGATTTTAGGAACTAGGTACACACTTAGAAGGAGCAGTGTGGTGATAGGTATAAAAAAACAAATAAAAAGGATAGAAGGTTCTTATTTTATATTCTAGCTTGTCAATATCGGTAATTTGAGTTCCTAATTCGTAAGAAACTATAGACTTTGTATTTGGACATCACACACATCTAATTTGAACCAATGCTGCATTCAACATACCACGTGACA